GCCCCCCCCGGGCGGAACTCAGGCGTCACCTGCCAGCACGTCTTCAGCTGGCAGCTGCCGGACGTGCCGTGGCACTTGCACTTCTGCCGCATGTTCTCCAGCACCACCTGCAGGGACAGGGCTGCGTTAAGCCCAGCCTGAGCGCCCCCCCGCTGCAGCTGCACAGGGAGCAGCCCAGCCCCCATGCGCTACTGCCAGGAGCACCTGGCACGGCCACGTGCTGCGGCTCCTGCTGGGTTACCGGCCGAGGGCGAAGGCAAACGAGCTAGCAGGCACGTTGACCTGGGTTTTGGGGAAGAGGGTTGCTGGCACTGAAGCGCTTGGAGCTGGGCCCTCTGTGACCCCGGGTCAGTGGCACCCGCGGACTCCACACGTAACCACCACCTGGCAGGTTTGAACCTGGGACCTCTGGAGCTTAGTACAGGAGCCTCTACCCTCTGAGCTAAAAGCCAGCTGGCTCCCAGCCTGTGCTGTAGAGGTCTCTAGTTCTTAGCTGTTGCTGTGGTCTAGCTGCCACTGCATGCGGCAGTGACCCACACTAGGTGTGTAAGTTACACACCCGCCCAGCTTGGATCCAGCCCAGGGGTTCCCCCACTGCCGCGGGCGGCTGCTCCTGTGACGCAAGCCGGCTTTGATCCGCCCCCAGCTCTGATCCGCCTGCAGCCCCTTGGCGGGGCCAGGCCGCCCAGCTGTGAAACGGGGCCATTCCCTCCCGGGGGGGCTGTGCAGGGGGAAGCCAGGGCGACGTGGGAGGGCCCGGAGCAGCTGCAGAACAAAGGCCCCATCACGGAGAGAGGATGGCGCCCCCAGGTCACTTGGCAGCTGCGGGCCCGTGGGACACACCCGGCTCTCCCCCTGCGCTCTCGGCAGCCCAGGGTGGACACAAGGCCAAGGGGCGTGGCAGGGCAGCTCAGAGCAGGGGGCTCCAGCCTTTTTAAGCACAAGATCACTTTTTGAATGCAAGTGCAATCCAGGCTCTACCTCACACCCAACTCCCCTGGCCCCGCCTCCTTCCCGCCCCTTCTCCGAGGCCCCGCCCCGTTCACACCGTTCCCCCTCCCTCCAAGCTGGGGCAGAGGGTTGGGGCGCAGGGGATTGGGAGGGAGAGAGCGGCTCTGAGCTGAGCTTGGGGCAGGGAGTTGGGGTGCAGGAGGGTGTTCAGGGTACAGGCTCTGTGCCGTAGTGGGGGGGTCTGCTCTGTGACCTGGGGTCCCCCTGCGCTGGGCTGTGCGATTCCCACTGACTCACCCACATGTGGATTGGCCCAGACACCCAGTCCCAGCCTGAGCAGGTAACAAGGCTCTTCCCAGGGGAGAGACAAAGGGAGGGAGGTGGAGACGGACACCTGGCTGGGGGGTAGGGCCTGGGAGTGAGGCAGGGTCTGGCTGGGAAACCTGAAGGGAAAAGCTGAGTACTGGGGGCTCAGGGGCCGGGGGACCCCTCCCCCAAGGGGTCTGAGGCTGCCTGGCCCTGACTCCTGTAGCCACCTCACGTCTGTGCTGGGCTGTGTCCCGGAGAAGCGATAACCCCCCGTTCGACTGGCTGGCGGAGTCTCATCTTGCTGAGGACGGGGTGCAGGATCGGGGGATCCCCGACGCACCGCCACAGGCTCCGTAAGGGAGATCGGATCCAGGGGGCTCAGGGCTAGGGCAGGGGTTGGGGGGCAGGGTTTGGGGTGCAGGAGGGGGGTTCATGACTGGGTCAGGGGTTCGGAGCTGGCTCCAGCTGGGCCCTGCTTATCTCAGATGGCTCCTGGGGGAGGGGTGCACTGGGGCTAAGGCTCCCCCCTGCCCTGGCCCTGCACCACTCCCAGAAGCAGCCAGCACTCCCTCCCAAGTCCTGTTGTGGCCCCCCCCCCCACCTGCACCTACACGACCCCCCCCCCCCCCGTTCTGTGGAGCTAGGATACAGGGTAGAAGAAGGGATGCCTTGACATTAGTGCCCCTCCTTGCCCAGCAAGCAGGGGCTTCCTGGGGGACGCCGCTCCAAGGCAAAGGGCCGGAGGTCTCATAGACCTTGAGAGGTCGTCAAGTCGAGTCCAGCCCCCTGCCCCCACGGCAGGACCCAGCACCATCCCTGACAGAGGATTTGCCCCAGACCCCTGAATGGCCCCTCAAGGCCTGAGCTCACACCCCTGGGTTTAGCAGGCCAATGCTCAAACCACTGAGCGATCCCTCCCCCCGGTAACTTGGCTTCTCCTGCTCCAAAAGCAGAGGTGGCCTCTCTTGCGCGAGCAAAAGGAAAATCTCCCCGAGCTGTTTGCTGTATAGGTCATAGGACACACTTCTGAGCATTTTGGATTCCAGTCAGCAGAGGGCAGCAGCCTCTCTGGCCCACAAACAGGGCAAGAGAGACCCAGCCAGCCACTACAATACAACACCCCCCCCCCAACAAAACACACCCACAGAGGTTTTCCACCATGTTTACAACAGAGCCATGAGGGTTTTAGGCAAAGCAGCACCCCCGATTACAGATCACGAAGCGCCGGGAGGCACTCACCCCTCTGCGGCGCTTGGGCTTTCCTGCGTGCGGGCAGGGCCCCTGCCCTGAGCCGGTACCGCCTGGGTGGGTGCAGGGGGGGCCCCCTTTGGGCAGCGGAAGGCCCTTTGAGGAGCAGCAGCAGGGAGGAGGCGCCAGGGAGGCCTCGGTTCACCCAAGCGCCTGAGGCTTCTCCAAACCCAATTCTCCGAGCATCCTGGGTCAAATTCACCCCCGTTGTGCCCCGTGGAGCCACGCCCAGGTCCCCCCCCACTGCATGCCCAGGAACGTGTGGGCACAACACCCCCTCTCCCATTAGCAGCCACGTGCTTGTGGCTTCTGCGGCTGCCCCCCGTGGCCCCGGCGCCGCGGAACGAGAACCCTGCCCACGTACCCTCTCCAGGGCCCCGCGACCCGCCGGCTTGGCACTGGGCTCAGCTCCCTGCGCGGGGTCGCTGCTCACCAGGGGCCTGGCACCAGCCACCCGAGACGCCCCCCGGCCCTGCAGTTGGGCGGCGCAGGAAGGACTAAGCACAGGTCCTGGGAGACCGGACCCCCTTGGTCTTAGGATGGGGGGGGGGCAGATGCCCCCAGGCCTCTGGGCAAGAGCTGCTCCATTGCAGTAGGGACAGGAGCCGGGCTCAGAGCCTCCGTCTCCTCCCAGGTCCCCCAGCTCGGGCCCCTGCCTGGCCCTGGGGGTTCCCCACCTGGCTCCACACCCAGGGTGCGTCAGGGAACGCTGCTGCCCTGCCCCCCTGTTCTGTTCCTCGCCATGTGCGCTGGGGCCGCTGAGCCCTGGCTCCCTCAGGCACGGTCCTGGGCCAGCGCCAGGCGCCTCCCGGCTAGCAGGGCCCTGGCCTGGGCGTGGGGTGTGACACTGCAGCCGGCACCCGGCTCTACGGAGCACTCTGCTGGTTTCCTGCGCAGGGGCCAATGGGACATGTGTCCCCCCCCCAAGCCCACAGCTCCCCCGCTGTGGCACAGAGCCTGTGTGCCAGGCAAGAGCTCACCACCCACATCGGCAAAGAAGGGCTGTTCTCCCTGGGCTATAGACGGGGAAACTGAGGCACGGAGCCACTAGCCTGCAGCGTGGCCAACCCGGCAAAGTCGAGCTTCCCGGGGCTGCCGTGGGTCTATGCTCGGAGCAGGGCTGGGCCCTGCTAGCACAGTGTGGCAACATGCAAGCTAAACTCGACACGGGCCCACCAGGCGGGGCAGGACTCACACCCAGGCCTCTGGGGTCCCATTAACACCAGCTCCTCCAGCATTCTGGGCCTGGACACGCCTCTGCCCTGTGGTGCCTGGCCCGCGTGGCCTCGCACGGGCCTGCGCAGGCTCCCTGAGCGTTTTACTGCTGGGGTGCCTTGGTGGTGAGATGAACAGGCAGCTCCTGCTCCCCTTTCATCTCAGCCCCGATCCTGTGTGCTCCATAAAACACACGGCAGCTGGGCTCTGGGGCCAGGCTCCGCTGGCCTGTCCCTGCAGAGGTGGGAGGGACAGGGCTGTGCAACGGTGCAGAAACCACCCTCCCCATGGTGCCGAGGTCCGAGGTCAGGTGCCAAGGTCGCTGCATTCTGAGGCCAAGCAGAAATTCCATGCGGGGTCCCGGGCCCAGGCCTCCCGGTTTCTCAGCTGGGAGTGTCCCAGGCCAGCTGGGCCTGCAGCCTGCCGGGGCGTGTAGGTGGAGGCAGTGCCAATCAAAACGCGTCACATCGCTGAGACCCCGGCGCCACTCCCCGGCCGCATGGAGCCAGGCAGAG